GGGGCGGGGCCTGCACTACTCTATCCCCATCCCCACCTCCGAATGTAACCACTCCCCGGGTGCACGCCTAGACCGCCGGCTCTTTCGAGCCCTCGCCTTCTGGATGGGGGCAGGAAGGAAGGCCCTAACCCTCCTACTGGCTCTCGTCTCTGCTCCCGGAACACAACTCCAGGACTCCCTTTTGCCAGGCTTCAACATGGCGGCACCTACAGGCAGTGGCCTGGCGTCGCCACCGGCTTTCCCCTTCCTTCTCTCAGGCCTGGGCCTAGCTCCCTCCAAGTCGTTTATACTCACTGCAACGCAGGCAAACGCCCTTTCCCGAAGAGACAAGAGTGCTGCTCCGAGCGACGGTGGCTTCCTTATGCGGCCTCGACGGGACTGCACGTTGGGAGCAGCAGATTCGCCACAGTTGCTGGTTTGCTCTTTGCTTTGAAGTGCTCCAATTACATACATCGAACATCTGGATCGTGTGTTTCCCATAGAAAATATCCTTTCTATTTTTTGTAATGTTTTAGATGAAGAACAAAAAAATGCTACATCGGAAGGTTGTGTTGCTATACTATCGAATGTGCGGTTCGCTGAACGCAGTTTAGACTCTTGAGACTGTAATCATCGCGCCCTTAGGCATGTGAACGGTTAACGTTACATTTTGTACAGTTTCCCAGTTTTCTTGACTTCCAGACTTTTTTTTTTGGTGCCGGGGATCGAACGCGGGTCCTTGTGCTTGCGCAGCAGGCGGCGAAACCACTGAGCTAAATCCCCGGCCCTGACTTCCAGACTTAATAATTTAACTTCCCATGCAAGCAGAACAGTGCTTTCAAAGTTAGTTTAGTGTTCACTTTAGAATCTTCTGGGATTTTATTAAAACGCTTTCCTGGGCTCTGCAAAGAGACCAGAGTATCTAGAAATGAACTCAGAATCTCTAGAAATTTGAAAACAAAAAGTCTTGCAAGTCCTCAAACGATTTTTAAGCATTCTGAAAGATACTTGCCATTAGAAGCCCAAATTGAATAAATAGGTACAATTATGATGTGTCAATTAAAAATAAAAATACATGCTTTTAAAAAGCCCAAGGCTGAGTCAGGAGGATCACGGTGAGATCGAGGCCAGCCTAGGCTACAAAGTGAGTTGGAGGCCAGCCTGAAAAAAAGGCCCACATTTAAAACTTGAATGTGAGAGGGAAAACCAGGAACTGTATAGTTCATAAATATTTGTAAAATGGATCACACTTTATATTTCTATTGTGATGTGTTTTGTGTGTGTAAATTTTGTTTTGTTTTTTCATTTTGCAGTGCTAGGGATGGACCAAACCCATGGCCTCGGTACGCTAGGCAACAGATCTATCACCAAATCACACCCATAACCCCTCTATGCTTAAATTTTTATTTATTTATTTATTTATTTATTTAGACAGGGTCTCATCGTGTACCCCAGGCTGAGCTATCTTCTTCCCTCAGCCTCCTGAGTGCTGTGATTACAAGCATGTGTCACCTTGAGCAGCATAGGGGATTGAACTCAGGATCATGCACTTGCAAGGCAGGCGCTGTACCACTGGGCTAAATCCCTGGTCCCCATTTTGTTTTGTTTTTTTGTTTTTGGGTTTTGTTCTTTTTTTTAGTACTGGGGATCGAACACAGGACCTTGCGCTTGCAAGGCAGGCAGAGGAACCACTGAGCTAAATCCCCGGGCCTATTTTGTTTTCTTGAGACAGGGTCTCATTATGTAGTTCAGGCTGGCCTTGAACTCACTATTTAGCTCAAGTTTGGCTCGATCTGGCAGTGATCCTCCTGCCTCATCCTCCTGAGTGCTGGGATCACAGGTGTGCACCACCTCACCTGGCAATATGGTTAAATTTTTGTTTTTTTTCTACCGGGGATCGAACTCAGGACCTTGCGTTTCCAAGGCAGGGGCCAGAACCACTGAGCTAAATCCCTGGCCCCAATATGCTTAAATTTTTGAGGATCTACTGTACTATTTTCCTTAGCTGCTGCACTGTTTTACACTCCCCTCCCCCCAGCAGTGTGCAAGGTTTGCATTTATACCACATTCTCAGTACCTCTTAATTTTATTTTTTCTTTAAATAACAGCCACCCGGGCCAGGGATTTAGCTCAGTGGCACCTCGCCTGCCTTCCAAGCACAAGGTCCTGAGTTCAATCCCCGGCACCAAAAAACAAACAAACCAAATAAATAAATAAATAAATAAAAACAGCCACCTGGAGCTGGGGTGCAGCTCAGCAGCAGAACACATGCTTAGCATGAGGCCCTGGGCTCTGTGAGTCCCAGGCACAAAAAAGAAGAGGGGAAGGGAGCTAAAAGGCCCATTCCCAGGTTTCCTACATCGACCAGGTCTGTCTGAAAGTGAAACATTTACACAAAACATTTCACAAATCCAGTGGATCCAGAGAGCTGCGGGAGGGCAGGTATTTCTGCAGACGTCTCAGCCTATGGAATCAAAACGCACACTGAGGTCACCTGCCAGGCCCAGGCTAAGCCCACTTCATTCTCTCAACAACCCCATAAGGATGTCTCCAGGGGTGCGGCAAGAGCAGATTTGGAGGGGAGGGTGGGAAACAGCCCCTTCACCAGGCCCCTTAACACTCCTCCCACCCAGCACCCTATCTGACATGAAGGGGGAGGTTAAAAAATGTTCTCTTGGCCTGGGATTTAGCTCAGTGATTCCGACGCCTGCCTCAAAAGCGCAAGGTCCCGAGTTCAATCCCCAGTACCAAAACAAAACAAACAAAAAACCGAAACACCAAAACCCAAAAAACTCACAAAATAAAGTTATAAAAAATAGTTTAAAAAAAAAAAAGTGTTCTCTTGAGGGCTGGCCGGGGATTTAGCTCAGTGGTTCTGCCACCTGCCTCACAAGCACAAGGTCCTGAGTTCGATCCCCCAGTACCAAAAAAATTTTTAAAAAAGTTCTCTTGTGCAGGTGGACTGAAAACGCATGCACAGAACACCACCCTTTCTGGAAACACTCCTTAAGGAAAAGAACGTGTAAACTGAGCATGGAAGTGAAGGACTGTAATTCCAGCACTCTGGGAGGCTGAGGCAGGAGGATGGCAAGTCTAAGCCAACCCTGAGACTTAGAGAGATCCTATCTCAAGATAAAAAGAGCTGGGGATATAGCTCAGCAAAGTCCTTGGGTTCAATCCCCAGTACCAGAGCCAGGCATGGTGGTATATGTTCTTGGAATTGCAGCACTATGGTGGCTGAGGCAGGAAGATTGCCACGAGTTCAAAGTCAGCCTGGAACACACAGTGAGTTCAAGGCCAGTTTGAACTACATATCAGGACCCTGTCTCAAGAAACAAAACATCCCCAATATAACAGAAAGAAAGAAAAAAAGGAAAGAAAGAAAGAAAGAAAGAAAGAAAAAAAAAGAGAGGGAAAGAGAATGAATTAAACTCTTAAAGACTAAAGACAAAACCATTAACCTGGGATTGAAGGCATTTAAACCAGCCTGAGAAATCTCCAAAATCCTTGCTGTTTTCATGCATGATTGAAGATCTAAAGTCGGTGTAGAGAACCCGGGTCAGGAAGCAAGCTGTCCTGACACCATCAGGAAATTAATGAATGCCCCACAGTGGTCACAGGACTTGACGCCCCCTCAGGGTGCCACATAGGACCCCAGAGATTTGCCAGTGGAACTTTCCTGAGCCCCTAGACCTCTACAGGTCCATTTTTATTAAGTGTGAACCCACCCATTTACTACTGTTTTCCATTTCACTACTTCCCTACCTGTCTTAACTCTCAGAGAAGTCCTTTTGAAATTATTTTTAAACTTCATATGATAATATTTCATTAGGGCTTTTGTTTTATTTATTTATTTATTTTTTGGTACCGGGGATCGAACTTCGGACTGTGCACTTGGGAGGCAGGCGCCGGAACCACTGAGCTAAATCCCCCACACCTTTGGTTTGGTTTTTGGAGACAAGGTCTCATTGTGTAGTTCAGGGTGCCCTTGAACTCATGGTGATCCTTCTGCCTCAGCCTCCAGAGCTGGGATTATAGGTGTGTGCCAGCACATCTGGGATGACCATTTGTATCAGTCAGTCCTTACTAAAGAAAACAGATTTCATACAAAACATACAAATATATAAGAATTTACAGGGCCGGGTATTTAGCTCAGTGGTTTCACCACCTGCTGCTCAAGTGCAAGGACCTGAGTTCTACCCCTGGTACCAAAAAAAAATAATAATAATAATTTACAAGCAGGGCACAGTGGCCCACGCCTGTCATCCCAGTACTTGGGAGGCTGAGACAGGAGGATTGCTGTGAGTTTGACCCCAGTCTGGGCTACAAAGTGAGTTGAAGCCCAGCTTGCTCTACACAATGAGACCCTGTCTCAAAAACGTTAAAAAAGAGTTGACTAGATTGGCTTATGACCGACACCCACCCACAGATGCAGGTGTGGAAGAGTGCAAAAGGTTCATCTGTGCCCTGAGGATTGGGAGGGTCCAGGTGAAGCCTGGGGAGCCCCTGTCAGGAGGCTGAAGACAGGACCGACGTCCAGGGTGAAAGCGAAGACCTTCCTTTGCATTGTCCCTTTTATACATTCTGGTCACTGTCCTCCTAGCCTGGGCCTCCCACCCCAGAACCGTGCTGAGCCAGCCAGCTGGGTGTGACTTACACACCTCTACACAGCCAGTCATCACTGGCTACATCGTGAGTTCAGGGCCAGCCTGGAGGACACAAGGAGCCGCTATCTCAGAAGAGAAAAACAAAAACACAGTGGCCCACATGGTTTAAGTACTGAGGGTCAAGCACTGTGCTAAATATTTCACAGTAATCTTCCCAGCCTATACTTATTCCCATTTTACAGATGGGAAAACCGAGCAGCCCCCGAGTGGGAAAAAGGAAGTAAAAAGGATCAAGTTGAGATGAATGTATACTGATTCCTTCACAATGAATGTATTTACCATGTATCATAAAAATGTACTGCAAAGAACAACAAACAAAGCTTGTCCTCCTTGTGTTCTTGTGCCGCTCTGGGCTTGCCTGTCTGAGCTGTGCAGCCTCGGCTGTGATTCTGGAACCCCGGCAGGGCCTCCACAGAAATCTGGGGATCCGGATCCATCCTGGTAGCGACCCTCGGCTCCCAGCCTTCCCCACACGCTGCCGACCGCCCATCAAACCCGGCGCGCTCGAGTTTCCTACGCCACGGCGCTGACTTCTCAGGGGTGCAGCACCGCGTGGAGCCCGTGACAGACCATCACCCTCCGGGCCTCCATCCTGGTGCCCTTGTCTCTCATTCTGAATTTTTAAAAAATTGTTTTTTCCAGTATCAGGAATCAAACTCAGAACTTTGCGCTTGCCAGGCAAGCTCGGTGCTGCTGAGGTACATCCCGGTCCCTCTTCTGCATTCTTGTGACCTCATTTGTTTTTCTGAGCTGATTCCAGAAATCGTTTGCTGACTGTAAAGCTGACCCAAGTCTGAATCATCCTGCTGTCCAAGTAAGAGAAGGACAGGAGAGAGTTGGCTTCCTGGGCTTGGCACTAAAACACCAGGTGCCTGAGCCAGGTGCGGTGGTGCTCGCCTGTAATCCCAACACACGGGAGGCTGAGGCAGGAGGATCGACGCAAGTTCCACACCAGCCTGAACTACAAAGGGAGACCCTGCCTCAAGAAACCAAAAACAAACAAACAAAAAATTAAACACAAGACGCCTGAATTTAGATGGGGCAAGAAATGGTGATTTCTGCCCTTGTCCCTAACCTGGCCTTCCCACAATGCACTTTTAGGCAGGAGGAGCACAGAATTGAGTCCAGCCCAAGCAACATTTCGATTTAGCAAGACCTTGCATCAAAATAAAAAATTGCTGGGGATGGAGCACAGTGTGAGGGCTCTGGGTTTAACTCCTGGTACCACAAAAATAAGCAAACAAACAAACAAACAAATAGCCCCACTTCCTCAAAGACTCAGGGGGGCATTTGAGGGATTAGTCCCTTAGGGATTTTTTGATCATTCTTTGTTTTTTTGGTTTTTTTTTTCCGATACCAGGGATCGAACTTGGGTCCTTGTGCTTTCGACAGCGGAACCACTGAGCTAAATCCCCAGCCCTCTTTAGGCATTTTTTGAGACAAGGTCTCGGTACATAACCCAGGCTGGCCTCGAACTCACAGCAATCTTTCTGCCTCAGCCTCCCCCTCATTTTACAGAAGGGGGGAACTGAGCCCCAGAGGATCAACTGCCAGGAACGCGGTGCTGGTGAAGTGGAGCAGCCGAGGAATCTCCAAAATGAGCAGTGTAGGGAGGTACTCATTTCTCCACTGTATTTAGGCCAGGGCAAAGCCAGATGCCACAGGGCCTGGCGACAAGTGGCCTGGGACCGCCGCCAACAATCGCTGTTTTCTGTTCTGCTACAGGTTCCAAAAATTACCATCCTGTAGAGACCCGGATCTTCCCTCTCCCACCTTGCAAGTTCGTTTGTTATTTTGATTTTACAGCACTGGGGCTTGAACCCAGGGCCTTCCTACCGAGCTGCATCTCCTGTCCTTTTAAAATTTATTTTGAGCCCGGGGATTTAGCTCAGTAGTGCTGTTGCCTGCCTTGCAAACCCAAGGTCCCAAGTTTGACTCTTGGTACAACAACAACAACAACAACAAAATAATAAATAAATTAATTAATTTTGAGTCAGGGTCTTGCTAAATCACCAAGTTGTCCAGGTTGGGCTCCAACTTTCTATCCTCCTGCCTCAGCCTCCCACAGAGCTGAGATGACAGGCGTGGGCCACCAACACCCGGCACGATGCAAATTCTCTGGCTGGAAAGTTTGAGTTTAGCAGGGGAAAAAGTTGTGTGCTTTGTGCTCGCTTCGGCAGCACATATACTAAAAAAAGTTTTGTGGTTTTTTTTACCCAGTTTTCCCAGTGCTCTTGGAAACTCCGCCCTGCCCGTCTCCACGGAGACGCGGCCGTTGCTAGGGGCGTGGCAGGGCGGCGGCTCCGCCTCCTGGGTGGGTGTGCAGACTCGCGGCCAATTGGGCAGCAGGCTCGGCCTCAGGAAAGTTTTGGTGCCCGGAGGAAGTCGAGGCCCGGCTGCCTCGGGGCGCAGGGGCCATGGAGGAACCGCGGGTGCGCGAGGAGGAGGAGGACGAGGACGAGGAGGAGGACGGGGAGGACGAGGCTGGGCCCGAGGGCGCCCTGGGCAAGAGCGCCCTGCAGCTGACCGCTGAGGACGTGTACGACATCTCCTACGTGGTGGGCCGCGAGCTGATGGCGCTGGGCAGCGACCCCCGCGTGACGCAGCTGCAGTTCAAGATCGTGCGCGTCCTGGAACTGCTCGAGGCGCTGGTGAGCGAGGGCGGCCTGGAGGCCGAGGCGCTGCGCCTGGAGCGCGACAGCCTGCGGCAGGAGGTGCGGGCGCTGCGGGGCGAGGCGCCCCCGGCCGGCGGCCAGGTGAGCGGGGAGGGGCCCTGCGCGCCTGTCGTCCCAGCGCTCTCAGGAGGCTGAAGCAGGACGGTCGCCGCGAGGTCGAGGCCAGCGGGAGCTACATAGTGAGATCAAAGCCAGAGTGGACATAGCGAGACCCTGTCTCAAAGAAAGAAACTCAGTGCAAGCGCTCGAGCCTCAGATCGGAAACACGGTTCGAGGAAGCGTTTATTGGGTGCTTACTTGTTAGGTGCAGGGACCTGGGCGGGGTCGTGAATCCTCGGCCTCCGAAGCCCGTCCGTGACCTTTGACTTGGAGCAGGGGTTCCCACGCTTCAGACTCAGGGCTCCCTCAAGGGCTGGGCCCTGAGGCCTGGAACCGGCCCCCTGCCCAAGGTTCCCGGGCCAGAGAGCCTGGGTGGGACCTTGGGCTCTGGATTTCTAACAAGTGCTCTTGCGAGGCTGCTGCCGCCCGATAGCATCACACTGTGAGGAAGAGGAATTTGGGCCTGTGACCACAGAAGGACAAGTTCAAGAGCTGTAGTCATCATTGTGCCACACCGGAAATACCCAGATGCAACAGAATAGGGATTTTTCGGTGTTTGTTTTGTTTTGTTTTGGTGCTGGAGGCCGAACCCAGGTCTTCGCACATGCTCGGCAACCACTAGCACTGAGCTATATCCCCAGCCCTTTCTGTTTTTTATTTTGAGACAAGGTCTCTCTGAGATGCACAGGCTGAACTCCAACTTGTGTTCCTTCTGCCTCAGCCTCTGGAGTAGCTGGGATACAGGTGTGCAACACCTTCCCTGCCAGAATAGATTTGTGAAGTGGTGAAGTCTATTTCTGCCCCGGAATACTACACAACATTGAAAAAGAACACACCACTGTTACACATACACGAAGGTGTGCATGAATTTCATGGCGGTTACACTGAGAGAAAGAAGCCAGGCACAAAATAGAATCTGCTGTATATCTATGTAAAAGTCAAGAACGGGCAAAACAATATTTAGTTACAAAAAAAAAATTTAGTTACAGGAGGCAGAATAGGTGTTGGGAACAATGCTACATAATTCCAGAGACTAGGACTTACTACAGAGGTTCTGGTAAAGTCCCCTTCCCCTGTTCCCTACAAATAGGAGGAAGGAGGGTGCAGAGGGACACATATAAAGAGCTGGAAGTGCTCTCTATCTCAATGAGGGTGTGGCTATATGGGTACATATGTATGTTAATAATCATCAAACTAAAGGCAAGAGTAGTGCATTGTTTCACACCTCACTTTTACAAAAAAAATTTTTTTTACCTCAGTATCCAGCATTGATGAAACAAAGTGGTTTTGTTTTGTTTTTTGGTACTGGGGATTGAACTGAGAGGCTTAGCACCGAGCTATATCCTCAGACCTTTTCAGAATTTTTCTGTTTTTGAGACAAGGTCTCACTATGTAGCCCAGGGAGGCTCAAACTTGCAGTGATCCTCCTGCCTCAGCCTCCTGAGTGCTGGGATGACAGCCACCACCAAGCCGGCTCCCTAGTATCTTTTTCACTGGTCCCTGAGTCACAGTGAGGGTGGATCTGGCGGGTGGTCTGTCCTCGTTAGTGCTGATCACGAGAGATGACTAAGTGTCGTATTGGTAGCCTGGGTCTGGAGAGTAGAGAAAAGCGAAGTGACTGCTGGGGTTTCCCAGCGCATGGCTGCTGTTTCCACAGAGCCACCTGGGTGCCCAAGGACTGCACAGGGCTGGGTGGCTTCCCTGTGTGGGGTTAAGTGGACAAGAGTCATTGGGCCAGAGATGAGAGGCCACATTTTTTTTTTTTTTTTTGTACCAGGGATGGAACTCGGTCCTTGCACCTGCGCAGCAGGCGCTGAAACCACTGAGCTAAATCCCTGGCCCTAGATGGCACATTTTCATGGACACCACAGAAAAGACATGGAGGGGGTGCTGGGTGTGGCAGTGTCGCCTTGGATCCCTGCACCCTGGGAAGCTGAGGCAGAAACATCACGTTAGAGCCCAACCTGAGCAACTCACAGAGCTAAGCTCTGTTTCTAAATAAATAAGTTAATTAATTAATTAAATAAAAAGGGCTGGGCATGCAGGTTAGTGTGCAGGTCCTGCGCTCCGCTCCGTCTCTAGTGCCAAGACAAAGATGGGCGTGGGGGAAAGGCGTGGAGTAGAAGAACCCACATTTAGTGCCACTAGACAGTTCACTAAAATAGGCCGTGTTGGGTTTTTCTTTCTTTTTGGTGATGTTTAAATTATTTTCCTTGTAGGAAAATACACATTACATACAATTTACGATCACCATTTTTTTTTGTTTCTTTTTTTTTTGGAATGATCACCATTTTTCAGGGTACACTCAGAGATACTAATTACATCCGCTGTCCATCTCCAGAACTCTCTTCATCTTGCAAAACTGAAACCCAATTTCTCTACACCCCATAACTATTTTCTACTTTCTGGGGGTATTTTTGTTTGTTTATGAAAGGTTTTTTGTTTACATTTATTTTTGCAGTACTGGGAATTGAACCCAGGGCCTCCACAATGCGCTCCATCCTCAGCCCTTTTTAAATTTTGGGACAGGGTCTCACAAAGTCCCTCAGTTGCCTAGGCTGGGCTCAAACTTGTGATCCTCCTGCCTCAGCCTCCCAAGTGTCTAGAATTACAAGAGTGTACCACCACACCTGTGGTTATTTTTTATTGTTTTGTTTAATTTTTTTTTGGGTACCGGGGATCAAACTCGGGACCTTGCACTTGTTAGTTTAATTTTAAAGTCAGGGTCTTGCTATATTCCCCAGGCTGGCCTCAAACTCCTGGGCTCAATTGATCCTCCTGCCTCAGCTTCCTGAGTCGCTGGGACTGTGTGCAGGCTCCACCGTGCCCAGTTTACTTTTTGTCCATATGATTCTAGGTACTTTCTGCAGTGGAATCATAATAATAGTTATTGTACGACAGTCTTATTTCATCTAGCATAATGTACTCAATATTTGCCCAGGCTGTGGGATATGTCAGAATTTCTTTCCTTTTGAAGGCCTATAATGTTCCACTAGGTGTGCACCCCGTGTCCTGTTTGTTCATTTAGCACGTGATAGACACTGGGTTGCTTCCATTTTTTGGCTGCTATGAACATGGGTGTGCAAACATCTCCTGGAGGGCCGGGGGTTTAGCTCAGTGGCACCGCGCCTGCCTGGCAAGTGCAAGGTCCTGAGTTTGATTCCCCATACAAAAAAAAAGAAAACAAAAAACCTCCTGGAGTCTGTTTTTAAAAAATTAATTAATTAATTAATTAACTTATTTTCAGTTCTGAGGATTTTTTTCGTTTTGTTTTTTGAGACAATGTCTCGCGATGTACTCCAGCCTGGCCTTGAACCCGCTGTGTAGCCCAGGCTGGCCTCAATCTCGTAGAGATCCTCCTGCCTCAGCCTCTTGAGCCTCCCGAGTGATGGGAACACCTGGCTCTTCCTCTTCACCCCTGGTACCCGGGATCAAAGTCAGGATCTTGCGCTTGCGAGGCAGGCGCGGTGCCGCTGAGCTAAATCCCCGGCCCACCTGGGCTCTTTTCGCGGACGTATCATGCGGAACTTTCTGCTCCCCTAGCACGGTCATATCTATCTGGTCCCTGTGCTGCCAGCGCCTCAAGGCCTGCACCCCCGGGACCCTGGAGCTGCTCTCTCCAGCCTGGGGTGCTCAGGCTGCGGCCCCGCCGTGGGAAGCCGTGTCAGAGGTGTCTTCTCTTCCAGGTGGACCTGGGGCCAGACAAGATGGTGGTGGACCTCACGGACCCCAACCGGCCTCGCTTCACGCTGCAGGAGCTGAAGGAGGTGCTGCAGGAGCGCAACGCGCTGAAGGCCCAGCTGCTGCTGGCGCAGGAGGAGCTGCGCTGCTACCAGAGGTGAGCGGCGGTGGGCGGGGCGCGGCGGTGGGCGGGGCCGGGGCCAACCCCGCAGTCAGTCAACAATCAGGAAGCTGGTGCTTAGTGGTTGCCCGCGCGCGCACGCGCGCGGGGCTCTGCGGCCATCCCTGGGCTGCCTTCCTCGCTGGGTTGCTTGTTCCTTGGTTTGTTGAGTCCATTTCCTGACGACCTACTACGTGGTGGGCTCTGTCCAGGCCTCGAGGTCACAGCAGCGAACAAAACAAAATAAAAGTCGTTGGTGGTCGCGTGCAGAGACGGGCCTCAAGGTGGAAGCCTGGGAGCCGCCGTGGCGGCGCATGCCTGTCATCCCAGCACCCTGCGAGGCTGAGGCAGGAGGGTCAAAAGTTTGAGCCCAGCTTGGGCAATTTAATGACTAGCGAGACCCTCTTAGTGAGAATAAAAATGGCCTGGGAATGTAGTTCAGTGTGGAGACCCAGGATTCAGTTCTAGGTACCACCGAACAGACAGACAAAAACAGAAAATGGAGTCTATTTTGCCTCTCCCTCCTCCGGCTGGCCCTGGGACTCGCTGTGACCCGTGGGTAGGAGGGAAGTGACTCCGCCTGACTTCCTCAGAGGCCTTAGCACTTCCATTTCTGTGTCCTTGGCTGTCACTGAGGCTCCCGTGCTGTGAGGAAGGTCATGGAGAGGTGACCGCCAGCTGAGAAGCACAGGGCCAGCCCGAGGAATGAGCGCCGTAGTGAGATCAGAAAACATCCTTGCTTTCTACTGCTGAGCTTCATTTATGCTACAATACAGGAGAAAATAGGGAATTTTTTTTTTTTTTGGTACTGGGGATCAAACTCTGGTCCTTGTGCTTGCAAGGCAAGCGATGGAACCACTGAGCTAAATCCCCAGCCAAGATAAGGAATTTTTATGTATTTATTTTGGGGGCAGGGGATTGAACACAAGGTCTCCTGTGTGTACACACCTGACCTTCCACTGGGCCGCACCCCCAGCCTTTTTTAGTTTTTGTTTTGAGACAGAGTCTTGCTAAATTGCCCAAGCTAGCCTTGTCCTTGGAATCCTCCTGCCTCACCCTCCTGAGCTGGGAATACAGGCCTGGGCCGCCATGCCCACCGGCACCACATATTATCTTATTTAACCCCCAACCTTAGGAGGTAGCTACTGTTACCCTCATTGTGTAGGTTGGGAAACCAGGTTTACACATTAGAGAATTTATACCCAGTCACAGCCAAGGAAGTGGGGAGCTTGGATTCCTAGCCGGTTCCATTAGACAAGGGAAAGAAGTAAGAGGCATTGATGTTGGAATTATTGGCATGGGAATCCCTCTGACTCTACTGCTTGCATTGTAATAACCACTAAGAGCCTGTACTTCCGGAGCAGGCAGATAGGAAATCTGCAGGACCACAACACACTTATTTCTCTCCTTCCCCAGTGGCCTGATTCCCCCGAGAGAAGGCCCAGGAGGAAGACAAGAGAAAGAAGCTGCGGTTCCCAGGCCCAGAAGTGCTGACCACCGCAAGGGGGAGCGGACAATCATGAAGAAGCTGTGAGTCACCTTGCTGTCTGTGCTCCTGCTACACAAGGGCCAGGGGAAGCAGCCAGGGCTCAGGGAGGCTGGCGGGAGGAGAGGCCTCCTCTCCCTGTGGCCAGTGTGGTGAGTCTCAATGTATAACCCAGGGTGGCCTCAAACTCATGGCGATCCTCCTGCCTCAGCCTCCTGAGTGCTGGGATCACAGGTATGCACCACCACACCTGGTTGTGATCCAGAAATATTAAATGGAAAATTCCAGAAGTAGAAATAATCCTTCAATTTTAAGTTGCATGCTGTGTTCTGAGTAGTGGGGTGAAATCTTCTGACCCCCTAACCTTGGGGTGTGTGTCACCCTCTGTCCCGCACACTCTGGCTTAGTGGATGGGTCCATCCCCAGATGGACTGCAGGATGGCTGGGTTCGTGCTGAAGTGACTCCCTCCGCCCCCTCTCTCTCATTCTGGTTTTTGAGACGGTCTCACTGTATTTCAGGCTGGCCTGGAACTCACTGGCCTGGAACTCACAGGGATCCTCCTGCCTCAGTAATTATTGGCATTTAATGGGGTGTTCCTTAAGTATTGGGGATTGAACCCAGGGCCTCTGGACTGAGGTACATCCCCAGCCCTTTTTAAAATTGTTTTGATCCAGGGTCCCACTAAGTCACTAAGTTGTCCACGGTGGGCTTGAACTTGTGGTCTTCCTGCCTCAGCCTCCCGTGGTGCTGGGATTCTAGGTCTGTACCGCCACGCCAGGCTAGGCTCTGGAGGTCTTCTTTTGTCATTTCTTTGGAATTCAAGCCCAACATGACGAAGTGGAAGTGGAATGTGGCTGGGACTGGCTAGGATGTGTATGGGAGGGACGGAGGCCTGGCCGGAGGTGGTTTGCGCTTTGTGGTGGCTGGCGGGGGAGGGGGTGAGCAGTGAGGGGTCAGGAGCGCACATGGGGTGTGATAAGGAAGCTGGTGACTGGAGCACACCCTGGGCTTCCTGGGGTGAGTGGCTGGGGGGAGGATTCCCCGAGCAATGAGCGGCAGGGGAGAGGCCTGCATGTGCATCTAGGGGAGGCGGCCAACATGTCCCCAGCACCTGCATCCCAACCCTGGGACAGGCTGCCAGGGACAGAACCCAGGACCTGTGCCCTGAGCTACATCCCTGGCCCTTTTTTTTTTTTTTTTTGGTATCGGGGATCGAACTCGGGTCCTTACACTTGCGAGGCAGGCGGTGGAACCACTGAGCTATGTCCCCGGCCCTTGCCCCCTTTTTATTTTCTTGAAATAGGTTGTTGCCCAGGCTGGACTGGAAGTTGTGATCCTCCTGCCTCAGCCTCCTAGAAAGCTGGGATTACAATCATGTGCCACCACCGCAAGCAGCTCTGTTTCAAAATTGTAGACATCACTGAAGGTTATTTTCCTCTACCATAAATCCTCCTAAAATGAAAAGACAAAAACAAAACCCCAAAAATGGTGTTAGATACCATCTGTCGGGACAGCACAGTGACCAAGTGTGGCTCTAGACCCGACTCCTGGTCACACAGCCCAATGTGTAACCTTGGGCTGTTTCTTAACCTCCCAGGACCCCAGTTTGCTCATTTATTAAACATGGATCAGCCAGTTGTGATAGTGCACACCTGTAATCCCAGCTACTAGGGAGGCTGAGGCAGGAGGATTGAAAGTTCAAGGACAGCGAGGCAATTAGCAAGACCTTGTCTCAGAATGAAAAATAAAAAGGTCTAGGGGTGTTGCTTAGTGGTAGAGCGTTGGGCTAGCGTACATGAGCCCCTGGGTTGATCCCCTAGTACTCTAAAGGAGTAAAAAGGGATATCAGTAGTGCTGACCACAGGATTGTCATAAGTGTAAAACACCTAGAGCCTCGCCTGTCCCCTAAGAACTGTGCATAATGGGAAATGGGGAGGGGGAGGAAAAAGGGACGTGTTGTTCACGTGCCAGCTCCCCATGGTGAATGTAGTCATTACCCACTGCAAACATGGCCTGATAAAAATACAAAGTAAAAAACAAAAGTTTAAAAAACAAACAAACAAAAAAAAGTTTTGGGGCCGGAGATTTAGCTCAGTGGTTCTGCCACCACCTGGCTCACAAGCGCAAGGACCCAAGTTCAATCCCCGGTACCAAAAAAACCCAGTTTGGTGCCTGGCGAGGTGGCGGACACCTGTAATCCCAGCACTCCGGAGGCTGAGGCAGGAGGATCACCATGAGTTTGAAGCCAGCCTGGGTTCCATAGCGAGACCCTGTCTTGAAAAAAAAAAAAAGTTTGGAAACAAAAATGAATGAAGCCCTGAATAAATGCTGGAGTCCATGGCCCACATAAGCTGCCAAGCTCTGCTCACCTTGGCGCTTTCTCTCCACCCAGGTTCACTTTCCGGTTGGGGAAGCAGACCTAGATTGAGGGCCGTGATCAAGGCAGCAGCCTGGACAGGAAATGACACCCGCCTGGTGCCTCTGCTGGTCCCGGTCCCCACTGCACCTGCTTGTTTGTTCCCCGTGTGGCTTCTCACATGCTCCTCCTCCCCACTGCAGACCCAGATGCCCTGGGAGGCTCGGCCAGGGATGCAAAGCAGCTTCAAGGAGGCCGGGAGTAGAGGGAACATGCGTGGGACAGGGCCACCTCCCTCCCCGGCCGCCCACCCTAGGGTCCACAATGCGCAGAATGAGCTGCACCCAGGGGCAACCGTGCTCTCAACTCGGGGCAGTGAAAGGAAAAACAAAAGACAAGAAAATATGGTATTGACTTCGTGGTAGTGATTTTGACTTCACTGATACTTCGTGAATATTGGATTCAGCTCTCCTGACTTTCTTTCCATGACCTTGTGTTAAAGTAAAATGATTTTTATACTTTCTGTAGCCCATTGAGTGGTGTGTGCGCACGCGCGGGTGTGTGTGTGTGTGTGTGTGTGTGTGTGTGGTGTGCTTGGGGCTGAACCCAGGGCCTTCACACTGAACTATATCCTCAGCCCTTTTTCAAAATTTTTTTTTCTTTGTTTTGGTACCGGGAATTGAATGCTGGACCTTGCACTTGCGAGGCAGGTGCTGGAACCACTGAGCTAAATTCCCAGCCCAAACAGTTCAGCTTTTTTTTTTGGTACCAGGGATCGAACTCAGAACCTTACACTTGCGAGGCAGGCAGCAGCACCACTGAGCTAAATCCCTGACCCCCTTTTTCAAAATTTTGAGTCGGGGTCTTTCTCAGTTGCCCAAGTGGTACTTTCACTTGTGACCCTTCTGCCTCAGCTTCTGGCAGTGTGTGCCCCCGTGCCGTACCTGGTTAAGAATTAAGATGGTGTACATGGGGTGGGGGTGTCCTATATGTGCCATTCAGCCTCAGTGATTGCACCATCATATCTGTTGCTATAAAAGAAAAAGTACTGGAAAGTATGGCTTCAAGATGCTGTTGATTCTGAGACTCATCTTGTTTTCACAGATGTTAAGATGTGAAAAAAAATGTGCATTTAGGAATCAGTGACGTACAGGATGGAGAGTGTGGTGGCCACGCCGGGCAGAGACTCTGAGGACCTTGTCTCCTACACTGGCTCGCCACATGGGTTTTGCCTGCACCGTGGCACATCTGATTGGCTCCTGTCTTAATTACTTTCCCATTGCTGGGACAAAATACCCAACACCCACAAGTTAAAAGAGGAAAGGGTTATTCTGGCTGTTTGTAGAGGCTTTGGCTGGCTCCAAGGCACAGGGGCCTGGCAGAGGAGAAAGACCTCAAGGCAAGGCAGACTGGAAACAGGGATCGGCGAGGAGGGGGGATGTACACAGTGATCACCTCCTCCCACCGGGCTTCGCCAACATCACGCCAACTGTAACCCTGTCAGTGGCTAATCCAGTGGCACACACCCACAATCCAGTCACTCCCCAAAGCCCCACCTGTGAACACAAGCCTTTGGGGACCTCTAGACAGGAGCCATAACAGTTCCTTTTAACAGTTCAGGGATCAAGGACTGGTTCTGATCCCTCAATTTCTCATTCAGAAACTGAGGCTCTGGGAGGTTAAAGTACCTCACATGAGGCCGCACGGCCACAGAGCCAGGAAGTGGCCACCCCGATGCAACTGCATTGTTGGTTGCAAACCTGTGTATGCCCAGCCTTTCCTCCAGCACTGATGTTAACAATGCCAGTTTCCAGCATGCTCTGCCTGGCATCATCTGAGAACCCTGTTTGTTTTTGGTTTTGCCATACTTTTTTTTTTGGTACCAGGGATCGAACTCGGGACCTTGTGCTGGTGAGGTAGGCGCCAGAACCACTGAGCTAAATCCCTGGCCCTTGTTTTGGGGTTTTTTTTTGTTTTGTTTTGTTTTTTGGTACCGGGGATCAAACTTGGATCCTTGCGCTTTTGAGGCAGGCAGCGGAACCACTGAGCTAAATCCCCGGCCCTGTTTTTTGGTGTTTTTGGTACCAGGGATTGAATTCAGGACCTTGGGCTTGCAAGGCAGGTGATGGAACCACTGCGCTAAATCCCTGGCCCTTGTTTTTGATTTTTTGAGACAGGGTCTCACTATGTAGCCCTGGTTGGCCTAAAACTTTAAACGATCCTGCCTCAGCTTCCCAAGTGGTGGGATTACAGGGGTGCACCACCATTCCCGGCCTTCTTAGGTACTTTCCCCATGTTGTCTCCTTGTACCCCTATGAGATGGGGTTCATTATTGTTCTTGGTGTCCACCCCAAGCAGTTAAAACATAGCCAGGGCCCCAGCTAAAGCATATTCAAAGGAGGACTTGCCCTAGGCATGAATTCTGTGACCCAGGACTTAGCCACCTGCCACCGTGAAAGGTACTGAGTGCCATCCTAACAGGGTCATTGGATCCAGGGCTCCTGATTTCTAGAACAATGCAGAACGCTGTGATTTAGTGGGGGTGGGTGGAAGAGTTTCTCGCCTCAGATGCAAGTGCCAACTTGGGAGACAAATCGATGTATCCCAGCTTCACAACCACAGAAGCGACGGGCCTGGAAGCAGACCAGAGTTCCGAGCCAGGGGTGGCTCCTGGGATCACCCTGACACCTGCGCTGTCCTTGTCTCGATTTCCCTGTGTACAGGGGCCTGCATGGCCTTAGCACAAATGTAAGAGTATTGTGTATCTGTCAATCAGCCACCTTTATGGCTACCCCAATTAACCATTCTCCTGGCCCAATGTGGCAGCTTAAGCCTGTGATCCCAGCACTAGTGAGACCCTGTCTCAAAAAATAAGACAGGGGTGGGGATTTAGCTCAGTGATGCTGCTGCCTGCCTTGCAAGCACAAGGCCCTGAGTTCGATCTCTGGTACCAAAAATAAATAAAAATAAAAGAGCCAAGGATGTAGCTCAGTGTGAAGGCCCTGCGTTGTCCCCAGCATCACACACACCTGATGCCCTCCTGCCTCCTTTTCCCTCACAGGAATAGACAGGGCAAGAGAACTTACTTAGAAAGCAATGCCCATGGGCTGGGGATTTAGCTCAGTGGTTTCACTGCCTGCTGCGCAAGCGCAAGGACCCAAGTTCGATCCCCAGTACCAAAAAAAAAAAAAAAAAGAAAGAAAGCAATGCCCAGTTAAGACCTCACTGGAGGAGAGCCAGGGATTTAGCTCAGCGGTGCCACCACCTGCCTCGAAAGCACAAGGTCCTGAGTTTGATCCCCAGTACCAAAAAAATATATACAGTAAATGGTAAGCTGGGTGCGGAGGTGCACACCTATAACCCCAGCACTCAGGAGGCTGAAGCAGGAAGACTGCTGGAAGTCTGTGGCCAGCCTGGACTACAGAGAGAATTCGAGACCAGCCTGGACTACATAGCAAGAGCCTGTCTCAAAAAAAAAAAAAAAAAAAACCAGGGCCAGGGATTTAACTCAGTGGTTATGCTGCCTGTCTTGAAAACGCAAGGACCCAAGTTCGATCCCCAGTACCAAAAAACCCCCAAATAGTAAATAGTAGAAATAGTAGAAACCTGATCTTTAATCAGGACAACAGCTAACATCGATTACGGATTATTGATGTACTCACTTTTCAGATCCTCACCATGGCTGCCCACAAACATCCCTGCCTCCATGCAGTGGAGGAAAGGACACCTGGTGACTCAGCCAAGTGGCCTGGAGCCAGAGGTTCTGTTCTAGAACCTGAGTGTGTGGCCACGGGCAACACTGTCCCCTCCAGGATGATGACCGAGTCCCAGGACACCCCTGTAAGGAGGACAGGCAGGAGGGCCAGCTGCTCCTACCCGAGAGACAGGTTTCCAGGGGGAGGAGGTGACCTGTCCACAGTCACAGGACTGACAACTGCTGAAGCAGATGCCAGATATCTAAGCCCAGGGTGCTCACCAAGGCTCACAATCGACAACTCAGAGATACTGAGAATCAAGTCTGCTAAATCAGATGTATCGATAATAATAGCAACTGCAGCAGCTAAGACATCAAGTGTACTACCTGCCTGAGGCTCTGTCCATACACATTAACTTTCCATCTTTACAAGTGCCCCGTGACTCCTGTAGACAGACAAGGAAACCAAGGCAGGAGTATGGTATTAACCTGGACTACACAGCAAGATCCCGTCTCAAAAAACCAAACCCAACCCAGACTACAAGAACCACCCTCGGAGCCCAGATGCAGGACGGTGTAAAGGAAACAGGAAACCAAACCCTGCTCCCTTTCTACCTCTGTCTTGTAGAAACAGAGACACACAGGCAGCCTTGCCTGGCAATAAATATTTTAATTATTGTTTCATTTTTATGATGACAAATAATTTTCAAGTTCATTTCCTGTTTTTGTTTGCTTGGTTAAATACAAAGCGAAACCACAAATAGGTACAACCAAGACATTTTCTCTCCCATCAACATGCTCCCGGCGGATCCTGGATTCGAGGACCAGGCTGGGGTGGGGAAGACTTTCTGGGTAGCACCGGCCTGAGGGAGGCCCGAGGTGGCAGGGCAGGAGTCAGGGACCCAGAGCCATGGTGGAGTGAGAATTGGAAGCCACCTGCTCCTGCTGTCACCTCTGAGGCGAGACCCCAGCCTCATCCTGGCTGCCTGTCCCACCTCAACTCCTGTCCTCACAGCGAGGGCACCAGGTGGTCTAACAAGGTCCAGACAGCAGGTCTGGAACTTTCAACCCAGCAGCGCCAGGCAGGTGGGAGCAGGAGTCATTTCTGGTCCCACTACCAAACTTTATTTTTGATTAGAATAGAGAACCATCTCAAATCTCTCCTACATAAACCAAACAAAAGCCCAAGCCCCTAAAACAAAACCAAAAATGCAGCCACTTCACTCATTTGAAGACCTATATACAAGTAAGTTGCTTCTTTTTTTTTTTTTTTTTTGAGACAGGGTCTTGCTCTGTAGCTCAGGCTGGCCTAGAACTCACAGCGATCCTCCTGCCTCAGCCTCCCGAGTGCTGGGATCACAGGCATGCGCCACCATGCCCGGCAAGTAAGTTGTTTTCTGTGGGTTTTTTTTTTTTTCCTTTTTTCTTTTTTTAAAATTTTTTTGAGATTTTATTATTATTTTTTAAAATAAATTCAGTGTTCACATTTCTATAAAGAATGCACCCAGATTTGGGCAGCCCTGCCGGCCTCTGGCGTGAGTCCCCCAGTCCCCTGGGGAACCCCGAAAAGCAGCAGTCTATGGAAGAGCGACTTCATGCCTGGCCCGCACGCTCGGGCCCAGGAAGCTTTCAAGAAAGCAGAGGGGAAGACGAGCTTACTGTGAACCCTTCTTTTAAAAAAGATTCACATGCTTCATGGTGAGCCTGTCGGACGTGAGGGGAGCAAGAGCTTGGGGACACCCTGGGCAGGCTGTGGGGCAGCAAGGTCCCCTGGCCCCGCCTGTCCTCAGGGTGGGGTGGGGCGGGGGTCCTGGCTCTGAGGCTGAGGCAGGAGGCTCTCACCCGGCTTCCTAGTTCATGTTCCACTCTTTCCTCTAAAACCTGTGCTGAGTCTTTGACTGCATGCACGGAAGCACAAACGTTCGGCTTGTATGCAAAAAAGGTACAAAATCAACTAGGATATAAAAGTTTTGGTAATATAAGGCCATCTGTTCAAGTCCACCTTGGAAACCTGTAACAGATATTTAAATACTACAGTGAAAAGGCATCTTAATATACTTTTTAAAAAACATCTGAAGTAATCTGCTAAGAGTAAGTGTGTAAAAAAAACCAAAACCAAAACCAAAACCCAAAACACCCCATTTCCCTTTGAGGGCACTCTGTCCTGGAGGGGCGGTGGCGGCTGTGGTCAATGCTTCAGCCAGGGGTAGGCCTCGATGGACGCCTTGCTGCGGTCGCCGTAGTCGTACAGCAGCTCCTCCCCGGCTGCGATGTCTCGGGAGGCGATGAGGATGAGGTGCGGCACCCCGTCGATGTCGTGCAGCTTGGTCTGGCAGTTCCCGCACTTGCTGTGGTTGATCAGCCGGCCCAGGCGGTTCGTCTCCCTGGTGGCGTCCACGCTGGCAGAGAGCAGGGAAGGGGGTTACACGGAGAAAGAGGCTTGGAACCCAGCCGGCCTCACCCCGGGGGCTTGCCCAACGGGAAGATGATTTGTGGCCATGTCTGTGAGAAAGTCATTCAGTTCAAAAAGCTGCTTCTCAAGCTGGGCCTGGTGGTGCACGCCTGTCATCCCAGCACTTGGGAGGCTGAGGCAGAAGAATCGCCATGAGTTCAAGGCCAGCCTGAACTAAATAATGAGACTCTATCTAATAACAAAAAACTGCCCCAAGACACCAAAAGCTGTTACTGAAGCTGCGCATGGCAGTACACACTTATAATCCTAGCACTTGGGAGGCTGAGGCAGGAAGATCTCTGTGAGTTCCAGGACAGCCTGAGCAACATACCAAGATCTTGTTTCAAAAAGAGAAAAATAAAGCTGCTTCTAAATGTTTGGCGAGGTCCTGGGTGAGGGCCTAGAGACGGTGGGATCAAAGGGCTCCTCCTTTCTTTGTGATGCTGGGGGTGGGACCCAGAGGCTCCTGTACTCTAGGCAAGGGGTCCACCACCAAGCCCTTTTTTTCAAGCCAGGGTCTTGCTAACTTGTCTTTACTGGAGAGACTTCTGCCTCAGCCTCCCAAGCAGCTGGGATGACAGGCATGTGCCACCTGTCTGGCTCAAAGGGCTCTTTATGGAGGCATGGGAAACAACTGGGGAGTTTTATAAAATAACAAATAGGTAAAACTTGCCCTCATTGGCCATGGCCAGGAAGGAGCAAGTAGCGGTTTCCAGAGCTACTCTGACTAAACGCCCCACACAGGAAGAGGCTGGAGGAGCTGCCGAGAGGATTTCCACACGTCAAGTTCACTTCTGCTTCCGGCTGAGTGAAAGGACAGCCAGGGCGGCTCTAGTCCACACATTACAAATGAGACATTGGAGGCGGAGCTGTGTCCCAGCTTGGGGAAAGGCAGCAAGCACTTCCCAAGAACCTGAGCAACAGAGAGCAAGGAGCTCTGGGGCGCCCAGCCCTGTGCTCATCCCCTCTGGCCCGGGGGAAAAGCCAGTCAAGAAAAGGTGCACTTAGGGAGGAGCGGGGCTCAGTGGCACACATCTGTGAGGCCAGCACTTGGGAGGCTGAGGCAGGAGGATCATTCTGAGCTCCAGGCCAGCCCGGGCTACACAGTTGAGTTCATCAGCCTGAACTACATAGCGAGACCCTGTCTCAAAGAACCAAAGCCAAACCAAAACAAACAAGAATAACAAAAACCAAAACCAACAAACCAAAACACACAGTCCACTTACCAGTAGGTTTTGCTGAGATACTGAAAGTAGTACATGTAGCAGCCCGTGGAGGGGTCTTGTGCGTACAGAGCCTCGCGCTTCTTGGCATCGGTGATCTCGATGAGGTCCCCGTGGTACTCCACCACGAAGTCGCCCCGGGAGAACTGCTTGGTGGCGATCACACCCCTGCCTTTGCCGTCGATGAGGTCGATCTGTCAGGAGGGGCGAGAGTTGGTTTGCAGCAGTGACAAGAAGCTGACAGGCACGGCAGCCCCTCCTGGGGGCTGAGGCCTTCGCCACCTTCTTTACCAGCTTCACCCGGGTGGGCTCTGTGAAAATGCAGTTCATTCATCTTCTGTGCAGCAGGGAAGGGTTTTACTACAGGCACACAGTTCTATGAGGTGTGATGGAGAAATGGTGAATGCTTACATTTTTAATAAAGGTACCACAGGCCGGGGATTTAGCTCAGTCATTCCGCCGCCTGCCTCACAAACACAAGGACCCGAGTTCGATCCCCAGTACCAAAAAAATAAAAAATGAAAAGGTACCACAGCGGGCCGGGGATATAGCTCAGTGGCGCCACACCTGCTTGGCAAGTACAAGGTCCTAAGTTCGATCCCCGGTACAAAAAAAAGACACATTGCCATAAATCCCCCTCAAAACCCTCCACTTCAAACACACTTGTTCCATTGTTCCTGCCACTTTCTGAAGCACTCCTGGAAGTCCTCTTTTGTGTCTATAGTTGCACTGCTGTGACTGCCTTGTCCCAAATTGATTCAAAATGTTTGTATTTCACGTCATTTTGACTTTGGGGAAGAACCGGATGTTGCCGGGTGCCAGATCAGCTGAGTAGGCTGGATGAGGACTCAGCGTCGTGTTTCCACACACCTGCCTTTATGTTGAGTAACTTTGACGGCTGGCAACATTCACCGTGTGTTTTTATCACACCTTGCAGATGTACTCAGAGACGAAGTCTTCCAGAACTGCTTCAGAAAGCAGCAAGAGTGATGGGACCATGTGAGGCAAGGGGGAAGACCAGGGGTCCTGGCAATGTCTTTACTGTGCTAAGTTATTTCTACATACACCGTGCATGGGATCATACGACCAGCACAGCATCCACCCAGAGCTCCTCCGTGTGCATCTGTAAATGCTACGTCAGACCCTCAGTAGACAGTGCAGCCCCGTCCTGCAGATAAGGAAACTGAGGCCCACAGGAGAGGAGCCACTCATCCAAGGCCACATAGCCAAGTGGTATGGCGGGGACTTGGGTCCACAGAGCTCTCTGCTGTCTGGGGCGGAGCCAGGCTCTGGGTCCCAGTCTCTCCTTTGTATCACCATTTACCCGCCAGTGTCTCTCCCAGCTCTGGGACAGACAAGAGTTGGACAGCAGTAGCTTGAAGGGCCCAGGATGGGAGTTTGGGTCCCCTTGGATGGGTGCAGACTCATCTGGCCACCTAACTCTCGAGTCAGGCGTCCTCTGCCCCCCACCCCGCCAGAGACACACATGCATGACACATGCTGAGCGGCCTGGGGTGTGGCTCAGTGGCAAAGCACGTGCTCAGCGTGCGGGAGGCCCTAGGTTCAACCTCCAGCACCAAAAACTAAGAGAAAAGCAAATGTCTTAGACATTGCTGTGTGGGAAACAAGTTAGGACAGAGTTCTTAGTTTCTCTTTGTGGCCACACACCCTGCCGCAGGGAGGGAGGCAGACACAAGAGCTCCACAGCATGGGCTCCCGCTGACTGGAATGAACAGAAAGGCACAGCCAGAGAGGGGGCAGACAGGCTGCAGGGGTGGGGGAGGGAGGGGTGACAGTGCCTGGGTACCAGGTTCCCCTTGGGGAAGACAAAATGCATCTGGAATTAGACCAGGATAACGGCCACACAGCATTGTGAATGTCCTAAATGCCGGAGAATGTATACTTTATAAAATTATAGCCGGGCATGGTGGCTTGATTTCTTTAGTCCAGTACTTGGGAGGGAGGCTGAGGCAGGAGGATTGCAGCAAGTTCAAGCCCAGACTGGGGAACATAGCGAGACCCTGTCTCAAAAAAAAAAAAGGTTGGGGGTGATTTTTGCCACCAGGGACACAGCTCAACGGCACTGGGGTCAATCCCCAGCACTGCAAAAACAAACAAGTGGCGGAGATTTAGCTCAGTGGCACCGCACCTGCCTTGAAAGCGCACAGTCCCAAGTCCGATCCAGGGTACCACAAAAACAAACAAAAAGAAAATTTATGTCTCCTTCAGCGACATTTTCTCAAGCGCCTGTGTCTGGCTCTGAGGCTCGTGCTACACGGCAGCTGCTGGCAGCCCCCTTACCTTCATGCCGTCCTCCTTCCCACTCTCGATCAACTCATCGATTCTCTTCCTTTCTTCTGACTGCATGGGGAGGAAAGCAAACAGCAGCATCAGTGTTCATGCCTGGTCACCCCACAGGGCCATGGGGCGGAGAGGCCAAAGCCCCAGGTGCCCCTCTTTTCTCCTTGGCCACCTGTTTTTGTTTCTGTTTTTGTACTGGGGATTGAACTCGGGACCTGGCGCTTGCGAGGTAGGCAGCAGAACCACTGAGCTAAACCCTCAACCTCATTAGCTGCCTGTTTTAAGGACCTGTCACCTCAACCCAGAGTAACCCAGCCAGGAGGACATGGTGGAGGTCGCAGGGCAGGATGGGGATGCCACAGTGTGGATGCTAAGTGTCCCCCAGCAGTGTACACACTAAAGGCTGGGTCCCCAGGTGGTGCTACCAAAAGGAAGTGGAGCCCAGCCCCTTCCTGGCCATGTGTTTCTGCTACCATGTGGCACCTCAGCCACAGCAACAGGGGCCTGACCATGGAACACACCTCTCAATTTAGGAGACAAAAGCCACCTCTTAGCAGGGCGTCGTGGTTCATGCCTAGGAGGCTGAGGCAGTAGGATTACATGTTAGAGCCCAGCACTATCAACTTAGTGACTTAGTGAGACCTGGTCTCAAAAACCCCCCATGGCAGGGCTGGGGATTTAGCTCAGTGGTGCTGCTGCCAGCCTCGAAAGTGTAAGGTCCTGAGTTTGATCCCCGGTACCAAAATAAAAAATTCCCCATGGCAGATCAGGGGCTGCTCCCTTTAGATGGACACAGGTCCCTTCCCTCCCAGCTGCCTGCCCTGCAGGTTTTCGGATCTCTGAGCTGCATCTCTGGAGCCACCATCCTGGAGAAGCAGAACATCCTCGCCCCGTCCCCTCCCAGGGGGTCCCCTCTCCCATATCCTGGTCCCACCACTCTCTCGGTGCACAGGACAGCGAGCAGGATGAGCCCCAGGCAGCACGGCTCAATGCATGGACCTCCAGTAACTGCCCAGGGCCTGGGGCCTCAGGGAACTCTGAACCAGTACGTGCCATTCCCTATGGTGTTGCTGCAGACAGCGCTCTCCACAGCTTCTCCGCCAGTCTCACCCGCCACCGCCTCTCCCTGCCTGTGCCAGTCTCCCGGCTTCCACCCTGACCCCCACTCCTCACTAGCAGCCAGAGGGATCTGATCCTGTCACCTGTACATTTACTTAATAGTGAATACCAGAGTCAGTTCCTTGGTTGTGACACCAAGACAACCTGGGTAATGGGTCCATGGGAACTCTCTGTACTATCTCTGCAATTTTTCTAACGAAGGTAAAATTACTGGGAAATTAAAATTTATTTAAGGCAGGCATGGCATTCTATGCCTCTAATCCCAGCACTCTGGGAGGCTGAGGCAGGAGGATCATAAATTCAAGCCTCATCTGGACAACTTAGCAAGACTGTCTCAAAAAAAAGAGTGGAGGAGGGCCAGGGATGTAGCTCAGTGGTTCTGCCGCCTGCCTCGAAAGCGCAAGAACCTGAGTTCGATCCCTAATACCAAAACAAAACAAAACAAAACAAGAATGGAGGGCTGATGATTTAGCTCAGTGGTGCTGCCACCTGACTTGAAAGTACAAAGTCCTGAGTTCGATACCTGGTACCAAAAAAAAAAGGGGGGGGGTGGAAATGTAATGTAGTTGAGTGTGAAGACGCTAGGTTCCATCCCACTACTGTCCCCTCAAAATTATTTAAAGAAAAACAAAAGGCTTGCAATGGTGAGAAAATCCACCCTGCCAGGTTCTGCAGGACCCAGACCTCACCTCGGGGCCTTTGCCTCTCCTTGTCCTCCCTTCAAGTGCCTTTCCCCAGTGCATCTGCCTGGCTCACTTCCTCTTCCTGCAGATCTCTGCTCCGAGGCCACTTTGTCAGAGAAACTCCCCTGACTACTGGGTTAAAGGAGCCCAAGCCCGCCACTGCACCACACTGCTTGGTCCTAGTAAATCGGACCGAATGCTATCCAGAATGCTGTCCCAAATCACCTTGGTTTTGTTTTTGTTTTTTTGGTACTGGGGATCAAACTCAGGACCCTATGCCTACAAGGCAGGCAGCGGAACCACTGAGCCAAACCTCCAGCCCAAATCACCTCATTTTAATTTGCTTGTCACGTCCCACTTGAACATAAGCTCCGGGAGCACAGGGCCTGAGCGTGTGTCCTTTGGACTCACCCAGCTAGGACATCAGGGCGGAGCAGCCAGTCAGGGCCTCCTCCTGGATTAATCCCTAGCAGCGTGCAGGGGAGGAAGAGTGCTGCGAGCTGCAGGGGCCACTGTGGGCAGCTGGGGATTCTCCTGCCTGGTCCACAGTGGGAGGCCGGGTCGGCCTCAGTGGCCTGATGCAGAACTGGGACATCGCCAGCCCCTTCTGGTCGCTGCAAGTTTGAGGCTGGCCGACAGCCTTGGTGGGTGCCGTGGGTGTCGTAAGAATTCTGGCAGAAGCCACAGTGGCCTCTGGGCAGATGGCATGGGGGAGGTGAGGCCTGAGGGGGGGGAGCGAGGAGGGCTTGGGCACAGACAGGATGGAGGCTATGGCTCCCACGGCCTTGAGGTCTGAGGTAGCGTCCGCAGAAGCCCCACCAGTTGGGCCCTGGGCAGGGTGGGGATGAGGAAGCAGCTCCCGCCCCAGGTGGCAGCCACAGCACAGTGTCCAGGGCTGGACGGTGTCACCAGGCCCATCTGTTTGTATTTATTTATTCATCTTGGTTTGAGACAGGACCTCACCTCACTATGTAGTCCAGGCTGGGCTCCAACTAGGAGTCCTGGCCCTCCTGTGTGCAGAGCCAGAGCCCAGATCCTGCTCCTGGCCCAGCCTGCACCCTGCCCCACTTGGTCCACCTCAGCGCCTCTCATTTCGGTTTCACTGCTGGCCAGCCTCTCTGTGCCCTACCCACCTGGACCCCAGCCCCGGCCGAGTTCCTGCTGGCCTAGGGGGCAGCGGAGTCAGGACAACCTCAACCCTGGGCCAAGGCCCAGCTGCTGCACCCTTGGGCTTTCTCTGTGCAGCCGGAAGAATCCACGCCTTGCCTGCGCCAGCCACATCCTCTTGGCCTGCAGGCAACAGCCTTGCCACCCTGGCCAGCACAGGGCTCATAGCCAGCAGTGAGGGGCACAGTATAGCTTCTGCTAGAGGCTGGCTCTGGGTCAGGACCACAGCAAACTGCCAGGGCTGCAGCCCAGGCTTTGGGGACTCGTGCACGCACACCATGCCCTCCTGGTCCTCTGTGCACAGAGCAGACCCACCCCTAGGCACATCCTACTTCGGGCTTCTCTCCCGGGCAGAGGAGCCGGCTCCCTGCTGGCAGGGCAAACTGGCTGTCCCTCCCCAGGAGCCCCTAGCACGGGCTGGGAGGACCCGTGGGCCCTGGCCCGGCACCGCCTCCTGCTCTGCAGTGCTGCCTCGGGGTGACCTCACGCAGCCTCCTGCTTGGCAGAAGCCGTTCCCTTTCTCTGGAAACAGAGCCAAGGCTGCTCTCTGAGGGGGAGAGAAATGGATGCCTCTCTCCTTTTTAAATAAAGCCTCATCAAGTAAAAGAAAAAGAGAACACCCTGGATCTCTGTACCTAATCTGCCGCTTTAACACAGACGAGAGGTTCAGGGCGGGGGACTTAGCTCAGTGGTTCTACCACCTGCCTTGAAAGCACAAGGTCCTGAGTTTGATCCCCGGTACCCAAAAAAATAAATTAAGAGAAAAAAATAAATAAACAAAAGTAGCAGAGACAAGAGGTTCAAACTGCCCAAGCCTGGTCCCCACCTCTCCGTAGGGAGGCGATGCTGAGCGCTGAGGGTCAGAGCTGAGGTGGGTGAGGAAGGGCGAGGGGCTTCGTGAGGTCAGAGCTGCCACACCAGCCCAGGGCTCCAGGACAGAGAGGCCGTAACCACTCCCTACTGCATCTAACACAGTTCAGCCCTCTGCTCTGCCTTCCTGCCTGGGTTTCTCTCGGTTCTTCGGATTCCCAGATGGGAGGCATGGGGGACAGTCACAGTTCCCTGGCTGCCGTGTGCCAGCCTCGAGTCTACATGCCTACGAGCGCAAGCCTATTTCTTTATCCCTCACAACATCCCCGCCCAGTTTCCAGATGGGGCAGCAGAGGGTCAGGGACCAGCCTGGATCTTCCCACCAGCAAACGTTCCTGCCACTGCTCTCTCCCACCCGAGCCACCATGCGGAAACTTCACAACCACAGACAAGTCAAGGGTTGGCTGGACCACCAAGTCCTAGGAAAGCCACTCCGGACGGCATCTGGCTTTCTGGGCCATGGCTACAGACCACCAGGCTCCTTCACAGGGTGTCCTAGCCAAGTCCCCAGCAATCCCACCAGGACAACAGAGCAAGCTGGAAGCGGCAGCACACGCTTGTAACCCCAGCACGCAGAAGGGGTGAAAGCCTAACTCCAGGATGGACAACTCAGTGAGATGCGGGTCAAAAGGTCAGGAGGGCTAGGGATGAAGCCTGTCGTGAAGGCCTTGGGCTCAGTGCCCTTGGAGATCTGCCCCAAGGCCCATCCCATCCCTCAAGAGCTGGACCGGAAACCACGAGGCTCTACCTGCAACTCCGCTTTGCTCTTCCTGGAGCTCCTCCGGACTGGGTAGAAGTCTGTGAGTTTGCGATTCTGTTGCGTTTTCCCTTGAGCTCTGGGAGTGAAGGGAAGAGAGGAAAACAGGGATGAGGAACAAAGCCATGCTCATACCCAGGAGGCAACCAGCTCTCTGGAGGCAGCTCCTGGAAAGGAAGCCACTTAAACACCTTTGTGCCCTGGGGCCTGATGGCACCTGCTGAGCTGGCCAAGGAGGCCTGAGACACATTCAGAGAGGGCAGGGAGGGGCCTTGAACTCCAGCATCTGCCACGCTGAGATGCTGACAAACAATGGCATCGGGGTGAATGTGGCCCTCGGAACCTCGAGGGCAGCTGGGGGCTCCAGCCCATGGGAGCCACCTGTACTCATGAGGAGCTGAGATCCCGGGGGACTTACTTTTTCCGAGGAGCCTGTTTGCCCTTGAGAGGCTTTTTCAGGGCTTGCTTGGCAATGGCTGCATTGGTAGAATCACAAGACGAGGTTGGGGTTTTTGGAGGTTCTGCTGCTTCAGATTTTTGGTTTGGAAAAGGTGCCAGGGGACCTCTCCTGGCGTCTTTGAGCTTCTGTTCCTCAGACTTCACGGTGCTTCGTATCGCGTTCCCAGCATTTCTTTTCTCTGCAGCAGAGGGTGGGAAAAGGGGCTTTTTCTCTATTCCACCTCTCAACTTTGAGACCATCAGCAGTGTTTTAAAACAGGCTGAGAAGAAAGGATCATGGGAGTTTCAGGCCGCAGGGCCCTGGGTCTACTGAGTCACTGTCCATTATGGCTGCCACAGCCCAAGTGCTTGGCTCGACTCCTTTTGCTGTGTGTGGTATTGGAGATGAAGCCCAGGACTATTCTACCACTGGACTATGTACCCACCCCTTTTTATTCTTTATTTCAAGACAGGGCTTTGTTAATTTGCCCAGGCTAGGCTTGAACTTGCTCCCCTCCTGCCTCAGCCTCCCAAGATTACAGGCATAATTACCACACCAGGCCTCACTTCAGATCCTTAACAAGACAAGCTCCCCTCCTAATAACGATGAAGCTGGTGCTCACAGTGGGTCTCTGTATAGTGTCCAGCAGCCTGGCAGGCGCACTGTGACGCCGTTGCAAATGGCCTGACTGGTAACAGTCTGGGGCGGCCGTGCTGGGAATCGTTTGCTTTCTCTCTCTCTCTTTTTTTAACGATTTACTTTTTAAAATATGTAAATAACACACTACTGATCGGAATGTAAAATGGTCCAGCCACTTTGGAAAAATTTGGCCGTTCTTCAAAAACTTCAAAAACACAGGATTCCCGTTTGACCCAGCAATTCCACTCCTGCTCAAGAGAATTAAAAACATCTGTCTGAACAAAAATGTGCCCAAGAATACAGTGGCTTATTCATAATAGCCAAAAGGCACAAACAGCCCAAATCCCCATCGACACATGAAGGGTTAAGTAAAACATGGGTTATCCACACAGGGGAACATGATCCAGCCACAAAAAGGAATGCACCAAACGCTGACACACACTGCACAGTGAGTTAAGTGCAAGAAGCCAGACACACAAATGCTGTGTTGTGTGATCCGTCTGTAAGAAATGTCCCCAACAGGCAAAGCCATAGAGAAAGGAGTTTAATAGTTGCTGGGACTGTGAGGGACAGGAATGGGGAAAGTGTCTCCTAATGGGCTTTGATATGTCATTTATGGCTCAATAAACAAAAGATAATACATCAAAACCATCCGGATCATCTTCCTCCTCAAGTTCTTAGGTGGACCAGGGGAAACTGAGGCCAGGGTGGCAGGTGTAACCCAGAACACTGCTGGAGAGGTCAGCCTGTACTACAGTACAACCAGGCCCTCCAAAGTACATCTGACCCCAAATTCTCTCTCTCTCTTTTTTTGGTACCAGGGATCGAACTCAGGTCCTTGCGCTTTCGAGGCAGGTGGCGGAACCACTGAGCTAAATCCCCAGCCCCAAATTCTTTTTTGAGACAGGGTCTCACTGTGTAGTTCAGGCTGGCCTTGGACTATGTAGCCCAGACTAGCCTCAAACTCACAGGGATCTTCCTGCCTCAGCCTCCAGAGTGCTGAGATTACAGGCACGCGCCACCATGCCCTGCCTGGCACCAAAGTCTACTTACTGCCATTTAGTGACACTGTGAGCTAAATAACTAGCTTGTGTACCCTATTATCTTTGGGGACAATTTACATTCTTCCCCATCCCAAAATAAAATGCAGCTGGCAAGCCAACACTACAGAGCAAGCCCTTTCCCCATGCTTGGGTGGCTGGTACAGGATTGACCCAGGCCGTGGCGGTGGTATCGGGAAAAGCTGGCATCTGTTGCCGCCGTCACAATGTCTTTCTGGGTCCTCGCTCTAACTGATCCTCCAAAAAGCCCTGGGGGTGGGGGAAGGCTCCTCTCTCCTTACAGATGAGCCAACTAAGGCTCCCCAAAGAGCAGCAATCTGCCTCAGCCCCCTCCTTCCAAGTGGCAGAGTTTAGACTATGGTCTAAGTCATTCTGAGAGCAATTGAAATAGTATCACCCTGACCCCTGCGGGGAATCAAGCTGAGGGTGGCTCCTGCCTTAGGATAGGGCGTCCCCACCCCTGCATCTAAGATCTGAGCCCACAGGTCAGGCTACATCGCTGCCTGTGACATTGGCCCCCGTGAAGACAAGGTTTCCTCCTACAGCACCTGCAGGGAGCCAAAAGCTCTGCCCCAGCAGGCAGGTTTTACTTAGATGGGAGCACGGGGAACTGGGGGGAGCTTTGAAAGGAAATATCTGGATAAGAACAAGACTCTCAGAGAGTTCTGTTTAACTGCAGGGCCAGAGAAAATTTTCCATAACCATGTATTTTCTGGCTCAATTTTTTTAGGGGGGCAGTGGCTATGTCAGAGATCAAACCAGGGTCTCACGCGTGCTGGGTGAGGGTTTCCTCACTGAGCCATGCACAGCTCGCAACATCGTCACAGAGTGTGCCCCTTCAGAGGGCAGCACTGAGCAGGCCAGCAAAAAGAAACTTTAGAAACAGAGCCAAAGCCCCCAATAAAAGGGAAAGAATCGGTTCCCTGCATTCACATCACACTGCAGTCGCCCAGGCTGTGTTTACTTTCAGCATTTAAAAGCCTCACCAATCGCAGGGCAGGTGTGTCAGTTTTGCAACGTGGGAGACAATCCCAAAGGACGCGCTAACCCCAGGAATGTTGGACCAACAGGGGACACGCCCCGGGTTGGGTTACTCTTTAGCCTTTTGCTCTTTCTTAGCAACAAAGCTCAAATCTCTCAAACTCGATGCTATCTGCATTCTTTTGGAAGAGAGGGGCTCCAGCAGCCTGACCGGGGAGCCCGAAGGGACCCATGTCAGAGACGTACCTTCTCGTTTCCTGTAGATCCCGGCTAATGGTTTCCCCTGGCATTTGACTTCATGATGTGCAACTGAGTTCTCTTCCTGAAGGGGGGAACGCATTCCAGAACATTTGTTTGGGCTCATGTAGGAATAGATCTTTGACTGCCCGGCAAACACGTTCTCCTAAAAAGACAAAGGCGTATTCTGAAAGAGGCTTGTAAAAGCAGATCTGGAGCATTTAAAGGGAAATGGGGAAACGAGAATATAAAAGACAAAATGTAGACTACAGCGACAACGTCTCTCAAGGGCGAAGCCAGCAGAGAATGCCAGCCCCAGTTCTCAGGGGAGGACTGGCAAGTTTAGGATCCCCCAGGTCCATGTCAAACATCTCTTAATCCTTGTGAGCTCTAATTCTTGTCACTGAGGAGACATCTGGCCATCAGGAGAACCAGCTGCGCTCCCCTATCTGTAACCTACCAACAGCAAGGAAGGTTGGGATGACCCAGGGAAAACTGGGAATCCAAAAGGCTAGCTGGGCCAGGCTGAGTTAATTTCCCTGGCTGCCGGCAGCAACTCTAGCACAAAAACAGGCCCGTGGGGATCTGATTAATCCCTGGGTCCCAGGTCAGCTGGGAGGACTTGTCAGTATTGAGCTCTCCCAGGGCACAGTCGCTGGCGTCTTGGGGATCACCAAGCCCAGCTGCTACCCAGGACTCTCAGGGTGATAGAGAAGCTCCTGAGGACAGAGGCTAGGGCGGCCACTCTCCCGCAAACACGCCTTGCCTTCATTATCAGTGGACAGCCGTGGGCGGCACAGGTCACTCACTGCCCCTGGTGGCTCTGGGTGTGGGATCGGTCCCCGAGGGAGCACAGGCCACCCCAGCGGAGGAGAGCTTCCCAGAAACATTGCAGGGCCCTGCTGCCCGCCCGGGCGAGCCATTAAACACCAAGTCGGCGGCCCGGTGACCTCGCCTAGCGACCGGAGCAGGCCCCGAACACCCGGGAAAGCAGCCACCTCCGGGGACGGTGGGTCTCCGGGAGCGCAAACGCCATCAAGGCACAGTGGAACTTTTCTGAGGTCAAACACCATCTGGCAGAGAGACCTGGCGGAGCCGGGGTGGCCGCCACTCCCAGCCAGGCAGCGGAAGGAAGCGGCCGGGCCCGCCGGGCGCCCAGGGCGGCGCGGGCGGGGCCCAGAGCCCACGTGCCCGGCGGGAGGACGGGAGGGCGGGCGCCGCTGGGGGCGGGGAGGGAGCCTGCTTACCCCGTCGGTGCGGGGCCTCCCCGGGCCCCTCCGCTCCACCATCTCCGGGCCCGGGGCCGTCGCTGCCACCGCCGCCGCCGCCGCCGCCGCCTCCACCGCGCGGGGCTTGGACATCTTCCTGCCTGGAGAGGGGGACCCGGGGGAAGCGGGGGAGGGGGCGCTCAGGGCGCGGCGGGGCGGGGAGCGGGGCCGCCCGGGCCGGGCGCCGCGGTGGCGCTTCCCCCCGCAGCCATGTTTCGAGAGCCCATCGGCGGAGGGCCGGCCGGGGCGGGCCTGGGTCCGCGTCGT